TGTTTTGTCAAATACTAGTCCTTGCTGCAGAGGAAGAGCGCATTTTTGCGTTTACTGTTTACAATTCGTCAAAAGTGGAGAAAAACAGTCGGTATAGGTTATGTCGAGTATCAAATTTCTCTCCTATCCACTATTTACAGTGTCATGTTTTCTGTGGTGGAATAGGGAGGCTGTGATTACCGGAGCTTTCTTTTTAGGAAACTCGCAATTATAAAACCCTTGCAACATTTCTTTTATTACCTGATCTAGGATTTCTAACTAAAAATTGATGTAAGAAGGTGGAATTGCGCACAGAGGGATCAAACTAAACGGACTTTTTTGTAAGAATTGAGCTATATGTGTTCAGCGTAACAGATCTCAAGGTTTTTCGGTGTAGCATTAAAGTGTTTCAGTCATAATGGACGTGTAAATGATAGAACTGCAATTGGTTTGCTGGTTGAGCTATCAATTAAATCGTTTAAGGTTGGAATGGTCACTGTGACTGTAAGCGCCTTGATTTCCTCTTCCGCATCTCTGCTTCTATCAGAACGAGAAAAGCTGCTGTTACTGATGGCATTGGACAATTCACATACCAATCCTTAAAGGAAAAACAACAGTAGTAGCGTGTACGTACGTAGAATAACGTGTAACAGTTAAAGTAGGCCTACAACCCACTGATGTCTAGTCGTACAAAATTCTCTAATATTTGTATTTTATGGTGATACGCCTACAATAAGCAGTGGTTTCTTTTTTTGCTAACAACAGCGCAATCGTCCATGTGAACATTTATTTGGTACGCATAACTCCTGATCCTGGATAAGATACGCATGAGCAGTTGCAAAATTGTTTAAGGAAGCGACAATCTTGTGTTTTACTAAAGTGTGGTGCATGAAAATTGATTTACTACTACTCACGTTCGTTTAGGTAACGTATATTTAACCCCAAAATGCCATAAAATGAATAGCTTGATTTGTCAACACTAGACTTTGCTAGGTCATTGACTATCAGTCTATTTACCTGTCTAACTATCATCTACTTATTGCACGTGTATTTGATTTACCAAGAATGAGGTGGATATCCATGGTTAAATGACCAACAATTATCTCAAAGATCTACACACTGACTTCCCCTTCCTTGATGCAGCGTTGGTGCAGTTTCATCGGCACGACTCATTGTATCACTTAGTCTGCTTTCTCGCTTGTAGCCAATTCTAGCAGTGGTGGACATTAATTGGGGTGGTATTCCCCCACCTTCTCCTCGATGCTAACTGACCATTAAGCCATCTCAAATGGATGAAGATGTCACCAGTGATTTCTTCCACATGTGTTGTTGTGCCTTCTGACCTCTGACAATCGGTAAGGAAACGAGCAAGGAAGTGAAACTGGAGATGTGCATGAACCTCTTGGAAAACTACTTTGGGATCTGAGACGCAACAACATTTGGCGGATAATTATTTTCAAACACTAAAGTTGCTGGTTAGCTTAAACATAAACACCTTATTAAAGTTGATGCAGCAGTGGATATGCTTTAATAATGAATGTCCGTATTAATTTGAGATGTAAAAATTACTGCTAATGATCCATTTATTTTTAAAAGTTTTCCTACCGTTTATGGAAGCTTTTGTTTGATGCCCTGTATAATTTCAGTACTGGCTTTCCCTTTTTCTCCAAATTTTAGTGTTAATGGCCAGATTCGTGTCCTAACTATGCCTTGACGTAATCCATGTAGAAAAGTCAACCATTCCGGCACATGTTACTATGTACTGTCATTGGAATGCAGCAGAAGAGCGCTGATCATATTTCTCTGGATGCTAATCAAGGTAAGCTGTACAAAACAGCTTGATGAACATTTCCACTCGTGTCAAATCCAATCGGCATATGCTGGACTTGTAGAATGAAGGACATCATTACGTGATGCATCTGTAAACAAGAAGTAAAGAATTATGGAATGACGTAAAGGAGCATAAACCTTCACAAACGGTCTGAGGCCTGCAGTGCCTCAGCATCTGGCCATTTGTGTTCTATTCATCCTTCTTAATGCCACTCTCAAGCACAACCTTGGAATAATGCATCAAATTTAGCAAACCACATCAGAGGTATAAGAAATGTAATTCATGGACTGTTGGATAATCAAGTGGCGCAAAGTAGTTGACAGCTATTGGTTAAGCTAGTCTTATCTAGAAGGCTCCTAGATGTATATTACCGCCTCTGCTAAAAAAAGGAGACCGTCTGGTAGATGAGGTAATTTGAAACGATATCTTAAAACCATCAAATTCACCACCGTCAAAGAAGGATAAGGGTGGCCTGCGGCAATCCGCTGACTGAAAATATTTGTAGACAGTAGAGAAGAAGGCCGCCTTTCCACTACATCATGTCACCAATTCGCTAGACTCCCTACATAAGTTAGACCGGTTGTTCAAGCTAGATTTTGAATCAGAATAGTGACATGTAAGATGGTTCATTTAAACTCGAAGCTGCAATCGAGATTTGAGTGGGAGATATAAATGTATGGAGAAAAGTCAGTCCATCCGCAGTCGCCACCAAATCCATTTGCAACTGAGAGTTTCGGTGAGGCTGAAAGTCATGGGAACTTAAAAGGCTTTGAAATAGTTTTCTCATGCTCATTTCTTTCAAAGTCGTCCTCACGTCATTGCGCCTCCCAGCCACTGATTTTCATCATCATCATTATCATTCATAAATACAAAATCGCTTCCCACATTAACAAGTTTGCACGAATTGAAGCGTTTCGCCTTTAGCAAAATCCGTCTAAATTGACCTCATCCATGAGGATGCACAATGTGGCCTACCTGTAGACAAGCATTATTTTTCCAAGTACATAAGACCAGCATTGAGGAATCCCAACAAAGTTGTCAGCAGAATGACTTGCACTAACTCCATAAGAGAGGTAGAGAGGAGAATGGATAGAGTTTAACACCAGATTAGCTTTGCTCTCATCACATACCAAAATCGTCGGACGCATATAGACAGTATGCACGTCCAGGTCCCTTTCCATCTCATGGCCAAAACATTCTACCTCTCTG